GAGGCAATACACTGACTGGCTGATGGAGTGCCACGGTTGTAGCCACGCTACTGCTTCCTTCTCCCTGTAGCCGTCATCACAGGCACCGCCGCCTTGGAAGCGCAATGTTGTACTGGACTGTGTTATACTACGAAAAGCAACAGCTAGATCATTCTGTCTCTCGTCATCGGTCCGGCATAAACTGAAACAGCACCCCCTCCAGCAGACAACGACCCTGTCTTGCTTCCCTCCTTTGTTCGCCTCGCGCGAGGGGTCACTGACTAGTGGCTTCAAGACTTAGACGTTGTCAATGCAAACTGGCTCCTCGAGGAGCAGGGCATCTCCCTTCGTAAACTATCGGAAATCAGTGTCCATATTTGACACGCGTCAAGGGACGCCATTGCCGGTACCATCGTACAATCAGCAATTCAGTACTACACATGATCCGGTGATGCATGGCTTTGCCTACATTCATCAATGCGGTGTCTTCGTAGCCACGCATGCACTACAACGTCGCCTACGCGTGGAGAAGTCAATCAGCCAGGCCGCCACGCGCTGGCCTAGAGCGCGACTGCGCAGTCGCCACCTACCTGCGTCTCGGTTGGCAGGTAATGCAGCTGCCACGATGGCACCTCGACTGGAATGGACACTGGCAAGGCTGGGCTCCTGCATGCCACTAATGACCCCGGCCACCGATTGCACTTCCGATGGCTTTTCGATGGCTGGCCGCTCAATGAGTTGATAGGGGAGTATTCTCGGCTCACCTCCCCGATATGGGAACAGGGCAATTCCCCTCCAGCTGGAACACACTCAGTGTTGCAGTGATGCGGATACCGGATAATGGGGAAGATCGACTCGGTTCCGCCGGATGGTTACTATTGCAGGCGGTTGAAGTATATTCCTCCATTGCACTCTGTAATGCTTTGGATATCGACATATTGGCAGGAGGCTTCTCGTCATAACAAGTGTGGCCTCCTCGAACCCGCCGCCTTTTTGTCTCACAAAGCTCCCTCTCTTCCAGATGACGTGACAGTCATTGGTTGTTCTCCCACGCCTTGGAAAACCGCCGGCAGGGCCAGGCCAATACAGGGTCAGGCCCTCCCCAGAGTGTCCCTGCCAACTGCCATGTACATGTATACCTCGCCAAGATGCAGGGTTCCCCTGTCGCAAAAGCTCTGCCTTGAGCCGAGCAAGCCTGGATCACACGACCCACACGACAATGCCTGGATCACGACCAGAACAGTCCCCAAGATCAGCAATTCTCGAACGATGTCTACCTTCGCAGACGCCACATGACCGGCCGCGTTGGGCAATGCACCTACGCCTCCTCGACACGATATCGGGGGGTTGTCCTCTCGGGCGGGAGTAAAATCTGCCGGCCTCCCCTTGCGTTGCCCGTCCCCAGCGGATCGACTGCCCGCAAGCCGGACTTGCCGGATGTCGAGCGACTCGTGGGAAATTCGTGAGCGAATACACTCTACAATGCAGTCCTCTGCCGATACGCACACCGATGGGTCTAAGGATATCAAAAGTCCATCACGTGTAGCATTCGGTAGCACAATACTGCGGCGCCTGGTGAGAGCTGTTCATGCGTTCCAAATATTGCCACCAGGCTTTTGGCTTGGTGTCTCAATCCTGCATGGAAGCATATTACGTATGCCTTTGAAAGGGCCGCACTGCGCTTCGCACCATCACATGTACAAGTAGGCCAACCGTCATTGACAAGTACCTGAATAGTGCATTGACTCATCGAGACAGCCTAATTCATTTGTGCGACTACGTATACTCTCGCGGATCCTGGATCTGGATTTCGGCGGTCCCAGAACGGGTTATACGAGCAACTGTTTGTCGATAGTGCACCAATGAGTCTGTTGGTCTTGGCCCAGTATTCCCTTGGCTGTTACACAGCCGCATCGAAAGATAGTCAGCATTCTTGGATCATGCCCAACAATTGACCACAAGAACAACACAAAGGGCCAATTTGCTGACCATGGCCGATGTCGGTTCACTGAGTCGAGATGTGATCACTCCAGATTGCCATAGCACGTTCACGCGGGTTTGTACTCGGTGGCTGCCTGGGTAAGCCTCACGCATTACATGCCCTAGCATTAGGGTCGAGAGCACGTAAACGAGTGGCTCCTGGCCGCCCAACATCTCTCCAAAATCCGGCAAAACAACCCCCAAAGGCAAGGATTGATCTTGGACTCAATTGAGTCCGGCAATGATGCTTCGCTACATTTGTCAAATGTCTACATTATTCCATCGCGAGTTGATGACTGGAATCCCGGGGTTTCGGGGATGGTATTCCGTAGGGGATGCTCGTTTCATATTGGCACCTACCCCTCCGAATTTATGCGTGCTTGCGACGCGGACACTATGCAGCTGCCATGTTACAGTTCGTGATGATTTCTTCTAATGTACTGCGGCTGACCATTCTGTCCGCCTGATCAGACGAAGACGGGGCTCTCTGATTCATCGGCCTCCTCCAGCTATGTGAACTATGTTGCATATATCGTCATCGGTCATAAACGCAGCCATGGAAACCTAACACGACGCATGAAGTACACAAGACTGACCTTTGCAAGCATTCCTTTTTGGTCTGTACTCTTGCGCCAACTGCATGTCTTGGTGTACAATACCAACCGTGTCTGCCCGGAAGACTGAGCTGCATATCCGATGGCCTTGTATGAGCTTGAAGTTCAATAAGGTCGTGGCCATCAACGGTCCCCCCACGATCCCGTGATTGGGGCAAGATGCATCTAAGGCGCCTGTCGACAGATGCTCTTCTTCGGCAAGGACCAACACTCACACGTAGCGACCTGTTTCTGCCTATGTGCTTCACGTGGTCGCCGATCTGACCCACTAAGATGCGTCGCCGGTGGTTACTGAAGTGCGTTTCCGGCCGATCGGTAAAATATCGAGTGAATCTCATCGTCGTAACGAGAATTCTCACATTGACGTGGGGGGATATTCCCAAGTTTTACTTTTGATGAGAGAGCCGGCCAACGCCATGCAGCTTCTGTTATCGATGGCCTCAGATAGATCGACATGGCGTGCCTCTGCAGCCCCGATAGTACGATGCTGTTCCTGGTCCTCATCTAAATACGCTTCAGACTAGACTGTATTCCCTCGATCGATACATCAGCCTCCAGACCGCGCTTTCGGCGACGTTATCCAGGCGGTGTAAAGTTGAACCTAAGGCGCTTTAGGGAGCTCTGGTGCATGACAAGAACACAAGATTCCGACGCCTCGTGTGGGAACTTCTTTCTGGGCAGGATATAATCACCGCACCCGTTAAAGCCGATATCGTTGGGCGAACAACACTCAGTCTGTCGACAGGGTCTGGATATCCATCGATACAAGCCACGGTCCGAAAAGAACATGGTCCATTGCTTGGCACATTGGTAGAGGCGGCACGCTTGCAGCCACCACGAGCATGACGATGGATACTAAGCGGGTTCTCCACGCCATCGAGCGGCGCCGCGCGGGATGGCTTCGGATTCCGAACGTACGGCTTCTCTCGCCGCCCCCTCCCTCCTTTATCTCGTTCCCGAACTTCATGCATCCACAAGCGCCAGTGAGCGACTTCGCCCATGTTCGGAAGCTCCGTGGCCTGCGGGGGTAAGGCTTACCAAAATGGCGCGCCTTGAAGGCGTTCTTTTTGGAACCGGCGTGCTTCTCAAACCTAGAATCATGTTATGCTGACCTGCACGTTCTGACTTTCTCTTCTCTCGCCAAAGTTCTTTAGATGCAACCGCGGTGAACGCGCCAACGGAGAAAACAAGAAGGAAAAAAGGGCCGGTTTGTCAGTCGAAGCTCTCAATACACGCTTGGGCCCTCTCATCACATGCGACGTGCACGCTTCAAACGTAGCCTCATGGACGCCACGGGGCCAGGTCCAGGGAGCAATGCTTTGAGACAAGTGCTACCATGGACGATACCTACCTTATGTATACACACTCACTTGACCTCTTCACTCGCCGTCCCGTCGCACTCCCGAGGCAGCCCTGGGCAGCAAGAAAACAGGCGATTGCCAATGGAGGCGCGCGGTCTTGCTGGGGGCCCTGTCGATCAATACCCCACGGGCTCTGCTACTGGCCCGGCCCCATGGCGATCAGGGCGGCTGGAAGCTACTGTAGGTAGGCGAGACGGCAACGATGTGTGCCGTGGGTTTCTTCATCACTAGCGTGGCCGGCGTGGCATTGCGTAGGTACGGGGTGGGGGAGATGATCGATGTTTCTTCACACCATTCCGTGGGCGGGACAGACGCCGAGGGGGGAGAGCCCACACTGAAGGCTTTGAGACGAATGCATGTTGGGTGAGAAACTACTTTTTTCCCCCATTTGCGACTAACGAGTGACTAGATACTACTCATACTCGCACCACACAGCCCACGACCGAGGCTGGACCATTGTCATGAATCCATGTCTCATGATGACCACCACTGACAGGTGACGATGTCCTATTGACGGGTTCTCGAGGCGCATTGAGACGCGGGGGATCATCAATAAGCGTATGGCGTCTTCAGCATGAGGGTCATTTCTTGGATTAATTTCTAAGCCTTATTTCTTCTTCTTCTTCTTCTTCTTTGTTCATGTCCCTGCCCCTGAAGCCAGACGTGCCACTCAGCTGAGGGATGGTCAAGTCGATATCACTGCAGTCGCAGTCACTTGGGCAGGGCGGACGGAGGGGGAGGGGGTGTGTGTGAAGAAAGCCAAGGGCAGAACATGGATGAACAGACAAAAGAGAAGTGTTGAGGCCAAGAGTAGGGCTCAGGACTAGGAGTTGCGTTGGTGGGCGGAATGAAGTGACCGAGGCGTATGTGGATAGGAGCACCATCTCTCACACTGATGTTTGATCGACGCTGAACTTGTGTCGGCCGTGAGGGCCGAGGTGGCGGCACCGCCTGGTGTCCCAACACTCAACATCGCTAGCGGGAGGTGCTAGCCAGCCTCTGGGAAACAAAGCGGGCACAGAGGAGAATAGATGATGACGCGTCTGAAGGAAGATCATCCCTCCCTTTACTGTCGCGCGTAGAGGAAGCCGAGACGGTCAATCTCGTCGCCCCCTCGGCCGAGGAAGCCGACAATGGCCCAGCCGGCGGGGGCCGTGAACTGGCGACACTCGCTGGTCGCGGTGCCGGCGCGCAGGGTGCGGCCGGTGCTGGTGCGGGCCTCGATGGAGAAGATGCGCGTGCGGTCGTTGCGCTTGCCTTGACACAGCGTGGCGGCGGTCCAGCGCTCGTTGGCGGCGAGGACGAGCTCGGAGGCTGTACCGCCGGTGCCGCCGCGTGCGAGGACCGTGCCGTCGGCGAGGGTCACGCTGGCGGCGTCGAGGCGGGCACCACCGCGGAAGGCGAGGCGGGTGGCACGCGGCGTCGAGGGCCGGGCGGCGAGCACGGCAGCGTCGGATGACCAGTCGCCGTGCGGCCCGCCGAGGAAGGCCGACTGGCGCAGCGCCGCCGGCAACGCCCACGTCAGGTTGGCGGCGACGGGGTTGTGGTCGGACAGGATGCTGCCGTCGGGCTGGAGGAAGCGCCTGCTGTCGTAGGCCCAGCCGACGGCGGCGAGGTTGAGCGTCGGCCCCGAGCGATAAAAGACCTTGTCGACCGTCTCGCACGTGTTGGTCGTGCTCGGGTTCTGGCAGATGGTCTCGGCCGTCGGCTCGACGCCGCCACGCACGAGCTCGACCCAGGGGTCTGTCATGCCGTTCTCGCGACGGAACACGCGAATGTCGTCGGGCGTGCGGCTGTACCGCGAGTTGCTGTCGCCAAAGGCGATGACGGCGTTGCCGGCCGACCACCGCGTGATGTAGGCCGACAGCTGGCGCAGGTTCGCCGTGCGTGCCGTTAGGTCACCAGCCGCCGTGCCGGCGTCGGTGTGGAAGTTGTACACGTCGACAAAGGCGGCGCCCTGCGCGGCGTCGTCGCTCACGGCGAGCCGCGTCAGCGTGAAGCCCTTGGGCGTCAGGCAGTCGGACCCCGAGTCGTTCGAGCACGTGTCCCACTTGACGCGGACCGTGTCGATGATCTCGTACTGCGACAGCGTGTTGAGGCCCGAGCCAAAGGGGACGCCACCCGAGGTCGCTGTGCGGAACGGCAGCGTCGCCGTCGAGTACAGCGCCGCGTGGTAGTTGAAGTCCTCCTGGACGTTGACGACGTCGTACCCGTGCTGCACAAGCTTGGTGCCGATGAGGCGCGAGTTCACCGTCTTGTCGCCCGGCACATCATTGCCCTGGAGGATGGCGGGGAGACCGGCGACGTTCATCGTCAGCACGTTGATATCACCCGAAGACTGCGCCGAGGCGAGGCCCGTGAGGGTGCCAGCCGCCAACAGAAGAATGCTGTTCCGTCTCATGTTTTTGTGCGATGATGCCGACGTGTGGGGAGGGAAGGACGGCAAGGGGGGTGGTCTCAGAGATGGGACGGACAAGGCCAGACTCTTTATGCTGCTGGTATCACGAGGTGCTGCGAGGGCCGAGTCTGTAGCTCCGAGATGACCATGATCAAGAGCCGGGGCGACACCATGGTGTTATAAGCGTCGCTGGGGCTACGAGATGTTGGGACCTGCTCATTCGGGCGGCGTCGCTTGTCATGATGCGAGATTGAGAACCACCGCCATCCACCTCTGCTCTCCTCATCCCCCCCCCCCCCTCTTTTCCCACCTCATGAGTTGTTTGCCTTCGTACCCCGATTACCCCCCATTGCCCGTTCAGGCAGCCTTTGATCGCCCGAATCGGTCGTTGCTCCGGGACTATCGACGCGGGGAAGGCCTCAACTGGGGATGCATGAACTGTCTCGGCAGAGCAATCAGGTGCCGAGAGGGGAACTCGTGGCCGTGGCCATGACCCTGCCACGCCGCTGATTGCGGTGAAGTTCACGTGTCAATGAAGGGCCTATTCATTTGTTCAGCGTCCCCTTTTCGGACGAAGGCGCTGAGTCGTTGTCAAGTGTCCGTGTGATTTTGGGTATGGCCGAGGACACTCGGAGCAGCAGGGGAGATGCGCGTGCCACTGCAGGACGTGTTGAGCATCGCGACTCGTTGCGCATCATGTCATGGGGCTCCACGAGCGCCGACGGCTGTTCCTGGCAGGGCTGACCATGTTAGATGTACTCTGCGTATGACCTGGATGGCGCGAGCGGGAAGAGAATGGTTCTGGAAGCCCAGCCCATGACCAGTGTCAGTCACCCTCAGCTTCATCTCATCACATCATTCTCATGGAAGCGATGGCATGAACGGGACAAGAGCATAAAGACACGAGCATGAATACAGGCTGAGTGAGTGAGTGGGTATGTTTATGGGCACGTTTCATTCCCGGCTCTGTCTCAACGGTTGATCGGCGCCTCTGGGACCGTCCTCGGGGGCAAAGTTAGGCACCTTCTACATGCTCGAGCACGTTCTCTCGACCGACCATGGCCACATTCTCCATCGACGAAGAGCACGTTTTCGCGTGAGTGGGCAGCAAACGTTGGGAGTGTACCACGTACAGTACTCGTTCGCATGCAGAGGAACAGGACTCGGCAGGGGTTGGTGCACGTTTTTTTGTTTTGTTTTGCGAACTCGGAGCATCACTGGCAGGTATCGACGGCACGACCAGACCAGCAAGACCAGAACAGCTCGATTTCAATGGGCGCTCGGAACTCCCCCTCGGCCAGACCCGGCTGCCCTCGATCGCCCCCCAGGTTCAGTCCGGCAGTCGGCGGCTCCGTGTGTCAAAGGACGGGAGGCAAGCGTCGCGAAACATGTCAACGCTGCGAACGGCCTTATGAGCATCATGCTAAGGCCTGCCGTGACGACGACGAGTGTCATGCGGGGAGGGGAAGGGGGAGGGGGGCAAGCGTCCGCGCTCGAGCTCGAGCTGTACTCGGCCGCCGCAACGAAGCCCAAGACGCGCATCCTGACCAGGTAGGCCCGGCGAAAGACGACTCGGTATCTGCATACTATTACCACCGACAACACACGTAAGAGACAGGGTCTCTGCACCTCCCTTACGACGGATTCACCCCATGACAAGGAGATGCCGGCCTGTCGCTGCTCGCCAAGAGGATCAAAGCTCGGAGAGCTCGAGCGCTCAGGCCAGGAGTGGTCCTCTACTGCCAAACACGAAGCGCATGCGATACGACGACAAAATGTGTATCACGGTGCATTTGCTTTCATATTGCGGCAGCGAGTCAAACAATTCTAGAATTATCAGAGACCAGACTTGGCGCTAGCTGCATCACGAGCGAGCCTACTGGACTGGACCTTCGAGGATGCATCACCCGTGGTCCAGCACTGGCTTGCCCTTGTCGAACTCGGCTGGCGGATTCGGCGTAGTGACGTTGTCATTGTTCAAAATGACAAGGTCATTCTCATCTGTCTCGTTCATTCGGACGGTTCGTGTGCACGTATGCTTGTTCTTGTGCTCTGCCTCGTCGGTGGGCTCGTCACTCCCCTCGCTATTCAGAGAACACTGTAGCAGAGCATGCCAGCAATCCATTCCGTTCTCAGCAGGGGTGAGGCGTGATGCTTCAGGACGCGCTCCGTGCTGCAGCTCGGCAACATGACAGCTTCGAAGGCTTAATCACAGGCTCTCTGGAGTGGCGACCGTGAAGCGCTCGAGACGTAGCCTCTCGTTCACGAATAGGTCGTGCCAGGCAAGAAGCGACTTTTCACTGTCGAAAGCGTCGAGTTCTACAGGCTTGTGGTCCCAGTTGCCGCCACGCCAAGGGAGCGTCAGAATCAGATGCCTCAGCCCCGGCAGCGCCGTGAGCGCTGCAAGTAGCATGTCAATGTCGCACGCGTCGAGCTTCGTCGGGTCGACGCCGGGAGCCTGCTCCCAGGTGAGCTCTAGGGATGTGATAGCGGCAGGGCGCTTCGGCAGAAACACGCGTGGGATGTTCCTCATCGAATCGTCCGCTGTCAGGACGAGCTCGTTCGCTCGCCAGAGGAGGTTGACCGTCTAAGCATACCTGTCCAGCTCCCTGTAAGCCGTACATCACTAGAGTGGCACAGTCACTTTACAGGCGACTCACGCCTGTCGACAGCTCAGCAGCCACCCCATGACCCCCAGGAAGCACGCTCACCCGCAACACTGCGCCTGCCCATCTATACAGTCTAAGCGCCGTCGCAAGAACATGAGATCGTCTGGCGGCTTCCACCCATTCCAGAGCCAGATGGTCGGCAGTCAATGACATATCCCGTCCGTCCACCGCCATGTCTCGTCTCAGTTGAGTTTGAGGACCAAGCACGGCGCTCGTCCGCAGTGCCTGCGTGGCCGGGACTTATTAGCGGCGCCACGGCCCGAGTCGACGAATAGGTGCAGACCGCAGAAAGCAATGATGAGAACTTCGATGCGGACATACGGCGGCAGCACGGCGAAAGAACGGCGAGGTGGAGATGGCCGCTACCGCTAGGTCTCCTGCCGGGAGCGGCGTCAGCGGCCGCCGGTTAGTGCGAATCATCCACAGAGGTGGCGGGATACGCGGCGCCGGGTTGGCGCTGCCGGATGCTACCCTTCGCAGAAGCTTCTTCAGTCTGTCTTTGATTTCCGCTTCGCTTGGCCTCCCTCGAGCAACAAGTGCTACGCTGTGCTGCCGCTCCGAGGTTTACCATCCACGGACCGAAACTGAGAGACTACGTGGGCGTAACGTGTGCTGCCAGCTCTCGCAAGCGTCATACTTGGAAGGCGAAGACGGGTGATTGTAATGTGATGACATCCCAGATCTGCCTAGCGGCGTGACACCAGGAACAAGGCACCAACTCAAAAAAACAGCGCGGACGAACGAGACACACGCACGACCAGCAGGGGTGGCCTCACGCGTCGGGGTTGGAGGGGACGTCTCATGCTGAAGGAAGACGCCTCCAGGTCCCAACGGCCGCAACAAGACGCGTGAGAGAGGCGTGTCAGACACGAGCCTACGGAGAGTGATGTCTGCGGCTGTTCTTCCAGGGGCACGAGAGAGAAGAAGAAAAGCAACCACGTTGATTCCGGGGCACTTTATTCGTCACCCCCTACCCGGCCGGGGTCCGCGCGGCGTCGGTGCTGCAGCCGTCATTTGATTGTTCTTAGCAAGCAAATGTCGCCTACTATCGGGCAGCCAAATCAAATCACAAACAGCCTTTATTAGGGTGATGAGATGTGATGGATCAATTGGGAGGCAAACACAAGTAAATGAAGGAAGACGCGATAGGCCTGCGCCCAGAAAGTCACGACAACATTGAACGTTCCTTGCTACTACTCGCTGATGGTAAGTACCTAGTCTCTCAGCAGCTTCATCATTCTCGCCATGTGGAGCATTGCGATAGGCATTGTGACGCTCTCCAATATTCGTGCCCATATCATCGTCTGAACACCGCTATAACCCTAACCAAGGCGAACCCTCCTTCAAAGCCCAAATGGCTTCCTAGATAGCCTTCCGCGGCAAAGCCGCCCCGTTCGCCTCGTCCATCTTTAGCACGAGATGCAGTTTCCGATAATGTAATCAGCTTGTCTCACCTACCCGTACGGCCCAGGTCACGTCCGTCCGTGCAAACAAACCGACCCCCCCAGTCCACGGGGAGTCTATTCCGGCGCCCCGCGCCCTCGCTGCCAAACTGTGCCGAGCGAAGCAGCACCACGGGCTGGGGTGGGCGTAGGAGGGCTGTGCAGGGCCACGGCACAGCAGGTCATCCATCCCACGCAGCAACGAGGGGGGCCTGGAACGGCCCCTGGCTGTTTCCCATTTTCCCTCTCTCTCGCCTCCATTGTGATGATTGCGATCGCCCACCGATTGTGGTTGGGACGAGGACGAAGAGAGAGAGAGAGAGAGAGAGAGACAGGAGGGGTGTCGGAGATGCGGGTCTTGCCGGGGTCGTGGTGTCTTGCCCTCAAACCTTGACGGCGGGATGGGACGGTCAAGGATCGTTGAGTGGGCACTTTCGAGCATGTATACCATGTACACGTCCCGCCAGCGATGAAGGAGCCCGATGTCTGGTGCTTGGATCCTATCCGCCTTTACTGAAAGTACCGGCAGCCCGACGCGAAGGTCGGGATGCACATTGCGATCCAATATTGCTGTCAGAGCGCGTAGCATGCAGGACGCTTTGCCTCTGTCTCTGATCCTGCCTGCCTTGGCGCGCTTCCGCCCATCCCACCCGAGCCGAACAGATACCACGCAGAGAGACAGAAGAGCATGGGCGAACATCTCGAGTGGGGGTTTGGCAGGGACGATCTGCGGGCGGAGACGCGAGTGGCTCCTCGGTTGGTGTCTGCCGCCTCAGCCTCAGGAAAGAAGGGGGGGGGGGGTGTCTGGATTCAGAAGAGAAGCGAGCGATGAACGGGCACGGCCGAGTGTGCGAGCGAGTATGCATCTAGGCCGATGAAGGGGACCCGACACAATGGGGGGCACGCCGATGCCCTCGCTTCACTGCTCCGCCGCCGTGTCTCCGGGGGACCTTGGAGCTTTTAGTGCACTTGTACGGTCGGTCCGGGCTGTTTGGGATGACTCGTGGGTGTTGATATGTGACGAGGTTCCACGGGCGGTGTACCGCGGAGCCTCGGCCGCGACGCCGGGTCCTGGCCTCGTAGGGCCAAGCGGGACATGATCGTCGGCTCGTGAAAAGAGTCTATCCTCGCTTGGGTATTCTGCTCGCTCGGTCTATGGCTCACGAACGCCGAGCGGTGTGACGGGAAGAGGACTGTTCCAGAATCAGACGATATATCGTTTTTGTTTTCCACGGGCGACATGGCAAAATGGCCGACTTATTGGGATGCGACGTTGCTTGGCGTGGCCAGATCTGTCATGAAGGGAGGGGCCTTAGCATGAATGGATTCACTCGCGTCGTGATCCTCTATATTATCTTCTTTACACCGATCCACCGCGTATGGAAGTTCCCGTGCGATACCCGCATCGTAATCTAAGTCAACTAGTCATGAATTGCCATGAACTCAAGGATCGGTGCATGCACCATCGGCTTCCCCATACCGAACTCTACATGCAAGATCGTGTTTCGCAGCAGCTCTGAAGAGTTGCTCTAACATGTTGCTGTCCAAGGTATCAATGAATCGTGAATGAGCTCTGCGAAATAGGCAAAATTGGCTCCGGGCTGAACGAGGCCCCCGATTGTAGGCCCCGCCCTCTGATCCAGACAACGAACCTATCTCGGGATACACTGGAGCAGAGGTCGTTCCTGTGCAAGGTCTGACGTTCTCGACCGTTTCTCACTTTGCTCGTGTCAAGTCTCCTGAGTTCTAGAGTAACAACTTGTAAATCATCATCACGATCAGTATGTTTCCGCATAGGCGCGGAAACGGTATTCGTTTTGTAAGGGGCACATGACTCCCCCGGAACGTCGAGCACCGGCCGGTTATTTGGAGGACCGGAATATCTGGCGCCATCCAGACACTCATAATACAGCTGGTAGCAACTGAACGTTGGATACTCACCTGTGTCGAGTGATCATGGTCCGTATCGTCGGGGCATAGTTGATTCGATGATGAATGACATGAGAACAACATGCACAACCAATATGTCAAATTTTTATATACCAGCCTTCCAGCATCATGAACAGTAAGCTGTGGGCTTACAGTCATGTTCAAAGGGCTTTGAAGAATAAGGATTGTGAGCAAGACCTTCCTAATCCCATCCACGATTTGAGGAACGTCACGTTCACTAGAAGAAATGGCTCATCCTGTATTACCAAGTCACTGCCGAAAGACGAGCAAACCAGATTCAGAATGTTAGACTATTGAACTCCTGGCACCTAAACCACACGAGGCGGCGGCCTTGAAGAACAATGCCTTCGTCAGCACGCAAAGATCATTACATCCGCGACGCCTAGAGCGCTTCCGCAAAGACCGAATCACCAGGTCCTCCCACAATGCCACGCATCCCCCTCGACCACCCGAGCAGCATCACGAGCGCTTCTTCTTCACCGTGATGCGGAATTTGCCCAGCTGCTTGTCCATGACCGTCTTCAACTCGGCATCAAAGAACGAGTCGACACGCCCAGGGCGGCGGCGCCGATCTTCGTTGAAGCTGCCAAAGCTCGCCCGCGACCGCAGCTTGGCCTCTTTCTGCACCCGCGCCACGACCTTGCGCGTCACGCTGTCGTTTTTGGCGCTCTCTGCGTACACAAGTAGGTTTTGCCCCCATCTGTTCACCACGAGCCAGTCGACGGAGCCGCCGATCGGCGACTCGAGCAAGAACTTGATCACCTCGGCGCGCGAGTACAAGACAGCCAGCATCAGGGCCGTTTCTCCTTGGTAGTTGGAGCTGTTTTTCGGGCTGTCCTTCTGCTTGAGCAGGTCGATCGCCTCCTCCTCCCACCCGCAAATGATGAGATGAGACAGCAGGCAATTGCCGTCAACGTCCACCATGCTTGCCATGTGATACTGTCCAGGCACACTCTCGCGGTCCGTGGTCCACAGGAAGCCAAAAATGTCGTCCGTGGCCTGCCAGCTGTTAGACGCGTGGAGCTGCACAACCTCCCCAATGATATCGTCGTCAACGCCGACAAACGACGGGAGGGCCCCGGACAAGTCGCGAAGGATCTTGGACACCCGTCCGTCCGCTAGCAGCACACGGGCACAGTTGCCGTGGCCGCGATTGATCGCTTGCCAGAGCAGTGATCGCTGGAGCGGCCTATACCTGTTCCCCCCCGAGGTAAAGGTTGTGGTCCCGTCGGGGTTGGCAGTGACGGCAGGGGCGGGTTCGCCTTCTGGTATGTCGAACTTGAGTATGATATCTGGGCGTTGTAGGAGCGCTTCAAGCGCGTCACTGTCTCCAACTTCGACGGCAATCTCTATGGGACTCCAGTCGTCGTTGCCCACGTTGGGATCCACTTCGGGGAAGCTGAGGAGAGTGTGCACCATGTTGGAGTAGCCGCCCTGGAGTGCTAGCGTCAGAGACGTCTGTCCTGTCGCGTTGCGCTTGTCCACATCCGCCCCCGCCTTGACGAGCATCTCAGCTATACTCTTCAGCTGGTGCGTGATGGCCAGGTGCAGCGGTGTTGACTGCGAAACCCCTCGAGCTTTGTTCAAATCGCATACCCGAGCTGCTATCAGGTGGCGAACGCCTTCTTCAAAATTTTGCTGGACGGCGTCATGCAGGAAAAAGTACGTGTCGTCACTCTTGAGCAAAGTGTCGATCTCTTGCATGGAAAGTCGCTTCAAGAAAGCGAGAAGCATCTTGCCCTGTTGAAACTTCAACGCCGTCTCACACCTGACGAGCATTGATATCGTCTGGCCATACGGTTTTTGCCGATCGTACGACGCCAAAAGCCTGTCAAAGACTTCTTCCATGTTCTCGTGAGCAATCGTGAGATCGATCGCGCGCGAAAAGTTGGCCGACGACAGGCCTCGATTGTTGAACGTCGTCATGTCAGTCTCGTGGACCCAGCCGCTCTTGATGGTCCAGTGCGCGTCGAGATCAAAGTCTGAGTGGTTGTAAATGTCCAGGGCGATCCGTTGAAACCCGAGCAAAAGTGCCAATTGAAAAGCGGTAAAGCTCTGGGAGCCGCTCTTGATGTATGCATTCACGTCAGTTTGCGGCCTGCTGATCAAATATTCCACGATCCCTTGGCGTCCGTTCCATACGGCATAAACCAGTGGTGTCCGGTTGTTAAAGTCGCGAGCGCCAGTGTATTTCTGAGTGCTGCCGACCAAGTCCGGGACGAGACTTTTGATGTTGTGTTTGGCAGCCTCATGTAGTAATGTGGTCCCGAATTCGGGGGCGCCTGCTACGTCCTCCCAAAACTGGGTTTCTATGTTGTCAGATGTCGCAACCTTGGCCCAATTGGAGATGACCTCGTCGCGATCATCTCCCAGGAAGTCGTTGATGAAACCTTGACTCAACCCGGCCTCGTCGGCTGACGCGCAGTGCGTAAATAAGTACCGTACTGAGTAGGCAAGGAATGGATGGTCATAGTAGCTTTTCTCGGTCAGCTCATAAAGGCGCACCTTGTCGTGATTGGCGCGGCGGGCATCAAAAGAAGAGAGTTCGCCACGTAACCCCTTTTCGATAGAGGCAAAGTAAAGCAGGCAGGATTTCGCCAGCCTGTGGTGGCTCGCTCCCGTTATTTCAGTCAAAGTCAGTTGCTCGACGCCATCGAGCATGGCGAAGCCTTTCTCGAAGAGAAAGTCTTGGACGGTTTGATGAACAAGCTGCACAACGCCATTCGATATCTCTGCGAGTCCGGCAGAAAGCACCCGAAGTTTCTTCACCATCTGGTCGTTCGATCGGATCGTGTCTGACGCTGACAACCAGTTCTCGTACGCCCCTCGCTGTATGCCAGCTTCTCCGTCAAAGTTTAGCGCATCCCGCAGACGGTCGACGGGAAGGTTCTCGGTGCCGAAGCAGATCCATTGGAAAAGTTGCTTGGATTTCAGTGCGCTCTTCTCCTTGAGTTCCGTTATCAGGTTTGCATAGAGGTTGTGGAGCTGGGGCGGGATCTTGTCGATGTAGTCCACTATTTCCTCGACAGTACTGCCTTCGTTGTATTTCCAAACGACCTGAGGGATGACGAGCACCACCCACAAAAACACCTGGCGCGCCTGCTCTTCCACTTTCTGACGGAGAGCCTCGAGGTCTTCCGGGCTCGTCACCACGCGCGTAAGCTCTTGGTCGATGTACCTGGCAATGTCTTTGTCGTTGGCCGACTCGACTACTACTTGCTCGCAGTTGTCCGGGGCGATGATGGGATAGTGGCGACATGAGAAACAAATGCTGACTCGATACGAGCTCGAGGCAGACGTGTCGTAGATGCGCGTGAAGAACTGCACGAGACGTCGGGCCTCTTTCTCACCGCACTCGTCCAGGGCATCGATGAAGATGCAAAGTCCTGATCTCCTCAACAGGGCAGGAAGAACGTCGGAAACGAAAAAGTCCTCGAGATCCTGAGGACGCCATGACCAAGGCCCTGCCAGGCTCTCGTCCATCTTTTTGTAATGGTTGACGATGGAGCTCACAGCTCGAGGGTAAGCTTGGCCGATCTGGTGCACCAGGGCACGGAAAAGCCCCAGTGGCGACCTCTGGAGATCAGTCCCGCGGCCGTGGAAGTAGAAACAGATCTTGAGAGTTGCACCGTCCGGATGAATATCGCTCGAGTTCTTGATGACATGTTTCATCAGCGTACTTTTCCCACAACCGGGCTTGCCCTTCACCCAGAGCAGGCCTTGGCCGTTCGCGTGCCACTGCAGGTAGGTGGGATGCTCCAGGATCCAACGGCAAGTACCAGCAGCAGCAGTCTCTACGTCAGCCCCGCGTGCGTTCATCTCTGGGAAGAAAAGAGTCGACATGCAACCTGAAACGTGTCAGTGATAGGTTGGTTGAGGTCATTAGGGCTGCTCTTTATGTACCGTCAAAGTCTAGCTTGTCCGAAGCAACCTCAGCAGCTGGAATGTCTTTCGGGGAGTCAGCTCAGTTCCAATCGAAGTGGCCAAGGGTCTCGCACCAGATGTTCCATGTCGCATCCAGCGCCGCAGCTCACCAAGGACCCGTCGGTACCCAGTATCTTCTGTGCTAGCAAATCGAACAAGGTCCATATGGTTTGTGGGGACCGGCAATTGGGGATAACCGCTGATCTTGGCCGAGTCCTTGTTCACAACCATGCCGACACCAACAACTTCTCGCTCCTCGAAGAAGCATGTCAGTTGGAAACGAGCGGTGTTTTTCCGCAGCCAGATGCCAAAGGCAGCCTCTATGTCAGCGAGAGCCTCAGAATCGCGCTGCAGTAGACGAATGATATCGACATTGACTCGTGAGTTGGATGCCTTGAGGATGCGAGCCACGCCCGCGGCGAACGGGGCGAGGTCGGAGCCACGATGCGGCGTTCCCAGGAACGCAACAGCCGTCACGCATTCATGAAGCTGTTTCTGATGTTGCTCCGCAGCCTGCTCCGAGAGACACAGGGCTTTCTTGGCTACCAGGCCTCCAAGGCTGTGGACAACCAAGATGATGGGCCGTCTAGACTGGGAGCGGGTCAGTAGAAAGACCGGTGGGAGATAAGGACGCCGATCGCAGCATCGTAGCCCGAACTCACTGCATGGTCTTCAATCCGCACAGTTGCAATGTCACTGATCAGAGTTGCCGCATGCTCCCGAATGTCGTTCTGTCCCACTGGTCCCAAGAACTTGGCAACATCAGCATCGTACCCGAACGAGAGAATCCGGGCCTCTGGAACGTCTCGCGCCAATAGCTGGGTCGGCCAGTAGATGGGACTGGCGCCGTTCGTGGCAAAGGTCTTGTATGGATGACCGGTGATTCCATGGATGAATATGATATCGACCTGCGGGTTTGGGGGCGTATGTAAGACGCGGACGCCGAGGAAGTGGTCGTTCGGGAACAGATCTTCCTTCAGCGACTTTGGCTGTGCCACATTGTGGACAGCGAGCTTGAGCGTGTCAGCACGCTGTATCGCCATCTGGCAACGCCTCTGGCAGATCCAATCTGATTGCGGTCGGTTGATCCAGGGACTGCGCGGCTCGTATGCGGTCGCGCCGGCGCAATTGATGCTCTCTGTGTCGTGCGCCGAAGAAGACGCTCACCTTGGAGGTCCTGAGTCTATGAGGAGGGGTTGACGAGAGGTCGATGAGATGGGCGTAAGGCCAGACCCCCAATCATCATGCAGAACACCGGAGCTGAAGGAGCACCTGGATTCGTCCTGACAAGGGTGCACGACGTTGAGAGCTGACGATGGTTGGCTGGGGCACTGTCAACTGTACATGGCCCCCAACTGAGGCTAGATTCGGACGGGACGGGCGGCTGCGGCTGCATCCTCCTGGACAGCGGTCACCTCTTCACAAGCGACGGAGATTGGTGCGTGGAGAGGCTATTTTTCGGTGGCTGTGATGGGCTGAACTCGTAGGCATGAACTAGACTCTCGTCGTGGCAAGGTCGGGCGATGCAGAGGAGGGGGATGCTTCAACGGGCGACCGAGGCGGTGCCAAGCGACAGCTGGCTGTGCCTTATGGTCATGCGCTGCTGTACCGACCATGCGGACCTACAGCATGCGAGCTCGTGTGCTGCAGATTGGAAGATGTACGCAATGCTGACATGGAGATGGCGGACAGGTAAAATGGATGCGTGTTCGGGCAGGTAGGTAGCCTCGTTCGGTTGGGACCCCTCTGCGACGAGGCTCCGAGTGGTTGCATCTTGACGCGACCGAAAGGGCCGGGAGGGAACTTTCTTCACCAGCTTCTGGTTGTACGGGCTTCAATGAAAGGCGACGCTTGACTTCCCGGCGCAGCTGATTGTGATGTTCCGGCCCGGACGACGGATGGATGAGTGATGTATGATTGAGGTCTTGGGGGTGGTGGGTGATGGGTGGTGGGATGCAGTGAACCCCACCAAAATGGTCCGCGGCGACTGACGTGAGCAGCAGCACCACTCGAAATGCAGTGGAACGTAAGCTGCCAAATCCATCACCGCACGTAGGCAGGACAATGAGCCAGTTGTAGGAAAATGAATAAAATGTAAAGTTGCCTGTTATTACTACCGCTCCAGTCGTCATCATCATCGTCATCAAAGTCGTGTTCTCGTCCCTTCGCCAGGTGCTCCTCCCAACAAGCTCTCGCCATAACAAAAACGCCATCACCGCGCACAGTAAGCACCATCAAGCCCAGCTTCAAGCGCCAGCAACCACCTTCTCCACAATCTTGTTGCACTCGGCAGGGTCCTCAAAGATGTGCCAGGCCTCGCGCGGCACGTCTTTGAAGGCCTCCTCGAATCGCTTCGGCTCATTCTTCGACTCGATACCGACAGCGGCGATGTCGGTCACCTTTCGGATGAGGATGAGCTTGACCCATCCATCGAACTCGCGGTAGCTACACACGGCGTCAGTCAATGCTCTTGCGCGTTATTTTGAATCGATAGCTCCGTGGTGACTTACATGTCGCCGTAGGCCTCAGGGTCGGACTGCGTCGAGTCACCAATGAGAATCAACTTGCGCTTTGGCAACCACGAATGCACCTTGCGGATACGGTCCGTCTTGTACTGCTCTGTCCCCTGGGTCAAGGCCGACAACAGGCCAGCAATGGTGCGCCAACTCGAGTCACGAAGAATCAGTGTGCCGTGAGGGTACCATTGGCGGCAGAAGTTGCGCAAGAATGGGTACAGGTTGTACGGTGACGCAGACAGGTAAAACCACGGCGCCTCCTTGGAAATGAGAGACGTGATGTGCCTGTAGAGTTCGGGCATGCCGGGCACGGCACTGGGAGGGTCGACAAAGGTCTTACGAAGGATGCCGAGTGGAGAGCTCGTCTGGGTCACCTTGATCGTGTCGTCGACGTCGGACAGGACAGCCCAGCCCTCGGCAGCCGCGAAATGGGTCTGCATCTCGAGCTCGCCGGAAATGCCCCGAGGCACGGCGGCACTCGCCTTGATGGAGGTGCCTGTGGGTTGCTCAGAGAGCTTCAAGATGTCGGTGCTGATGCCGTTACGACCTGTCGGCCCCAACTTGATCTCTTTATCCTGGTGCACGACGCGCAGGTGGCGGGCAGGCCGGACATCCCACAGGAAGGGCAGCAGTCGCTCCTCGATGGTGGCAAGCTCCTCTGCATCGTCGGCCAGTCCCAGCGTCTCGGCAATGCTGGTAACCATGTCGACAACCTTGACTTTGGGCTCCTTCTCGAAGACGGCGGCGACGAATTCGGCCTGCCAGCTGCTCAGGCGGCCGGGCTTGAACGCCGTGTTGTCGAAGAGCCAGACGACGTCGTCACCGGAGACGGGGCGACCAAAGGGGTTCCGACTGCCGAGATAGGAAGAAAAGTTGTCGACAGAAGGGATCGAGAAAGCGGACTGCAGAGCGGGCAATCGGGGATCGGGTAGTGCGGATTCCATTTCGTCAAACTTGTGTTCCTTGCGTGTCTGGTCTTGCAGTGCCTGTGCCTGCGCGGCGGCGGCGCTTTTTGACTGATGCGACGACATGGCGACTGGAATCTGGTGGCGAGGCAGGCTGCTGAAGTGTGGTCTCGAGGAAAGGTCAGGGGGCAGGGCTGCCGTCGCAGCGTGGCAGACACAAGATATCACGAGGGAAAGACACGCCGCGCAAGGTGTACAGATGCTGTGCTCCGGCGGGCGGTAGTAAAATGGGGGCGGAGGAGAGAAGGGGGACGAGGCGACGGATGGGCAGCCTGCTGCTATATGTCTTGGGACCTGGCAGATCAAAGTTGGGAGTGGCGGCGATGAGGTCAGGAGATGGAGAGGGGAAGAAAGCCAGTCGGCATTGCATTTCAGCTCAGGTTGGTCGCAGCAGATCAGCTCTTCATCTCGATGGGATGTGACAGGCAGGCAGGCGGGCAGGCGCCTAACGATGCACCTCTGCCCTCAGCCCCTCCGTCAGGTAGGTACCTAGATCAGGGCCAGTACGTGGGCAACTCCAGCTGTCGCATACCTACCTACCTACCTACCTAGGTACCTACCTGCCCACCTAGATACTGAATACAGGGAAAGAAGGGCCAGGGAACTGCAGTGTCGCCACGTCGATGCGCTCGACGTTCATCATCTCGACCCCTAGCGGCAGGCGGCAGTGGCGGGTCTCGTGGTCTTGCCGTGTGTTTGGTCAACAAGAGCTCGTGACAGCTTGTCTGTCTAGTGACGCCCAATGACGCACCTCAGGTTTCGAAGGCGTCTGGGAAGGAAGCATCCCAGTTCCGGCTGAATGTCGGATCGCACCTCCCCTCCCGTACACTGATTGACAGGCAGGACCCCTGCTTCTCACGTGATCAGCATGTCACGGCATTAGCGAGCGAGTCGAGGCCCATCCGATCCGATTCCCGAGCTCCCTTTTGTGTCCGATCCCCTACCTTAACCTTAAGCTGACCCGGAGGCCGACTGATGGTTGAATTGGCGACGTGATACGGTAGGCAGCCAAAGGCAATGGTATGGGCTTACCGACGAGTTGGCCTTTTCTTTTGCTTTCCTCGAATTAGATCCCTACCTCACGATTCAACGTCAGACCGACACATCAAACAATACCTTGGCGAGCCAAGACTCTACCCTGACTAAGCTTGTCTTGGCAAGCAAGGCCCAAGTCATATCGGCCCAGGTAGTCAAGTCCCCAGTTCTGTTTCCTGTCCAGACTCCTTTCACCGTCATCAAATATTCTCCACGCCGCGAAGCATCATCTCACCTCCATCCTCCCATACGAGACCGCCGTTCTCACTTTTTCAATTTCGCAAGGCCAAGCTCCGTGCCTTGAGGCTTCGCGCTTCTGTAGCCTCCCTTGTTTGGCTCGCCGCCAAAGGAGGAGACGGCCTTGGGACCTCTGGCCTTGCGACCTCTGGAGTCTCAATCTCGCCCCGGCCACGCGGCCACTTGTTGTCACATTTCACCCACCGCCCTTGCCGCAACTGGCATTTGGATCCTTTCGCTTCCTCCGTTGCACTGTCCGGGGGGCTTTGTCGCCGCCCACGGCGTCTCATTTGAGGCGCACCGCCCATCATGAACAACGCGTCCAACACATGTTCGAACGACAACCCTGACTATGTGCAGGATGTCCACGGCAACGATGATCACACAAAATGGTCCGGCTGCGGCATCCCTAGTAATTCAACCGATGCTCCTGTCTTGCAAGCATGCTGCGAGGCCCTAGGCGACGATTTCGTCTACACCTACCAGGACTATTTCCCTCTTTTCTCCGAGACGCATGACATTGCCAGCTGCTGGACCACCTGCATGGTCAACGTTTCGTCGGTCTCGTTCGCCGACTCAACCAACGTAACGCAATGCATGATCAACAGCCTGGCAAAGACCGACGACAATGATCCCCATGGCAAGCTGTGCGGCGGGCCGGGAATGCGAAGTCTGGCGGCACGACCTGGACTGGACGTTGCAAGCTGGGGCATCGCGACCGCCGCCCTGGTCGCCTGCCTGCTCCGAGGATGAGCGGCAGGCGGACGAAGAGAACTTGCGGAGACGAGATTGTAGCATTGCGGCATTGCGACATTGCGACATTGTCCGCGCGATGACATTGGAATCATATCGTGGCGTTTACGGTCAGGCGGGCGAATTTTGGCAGGGTAGCGACTCACTTTTCATCGTTTATTAGTCACACGGAGGAGACCCTGCGACGCGTAGGGGCTGAATTAGACCAACAACATAACATGGCCAGGTGGCTTGAACAATTGTACACCTTTCCGCATTCTTGAGCTCTCGGATGCTAGGGGTTCAATCGAGACTATTGTCTCTTGATGTCTCAAATCGGACACCCGCTGGCTCTATGGACCGCCACAAGATTCTCGAACGAGTGACATGTCGAAAATAACACCGGGCGCTGTCTTTCACAGACGGTACCATCACTGCTGCCCTTGAGACGCATGCTTTGGTTGAAGCAGCTCCAACGCCTCCATCATTCCAATTGCCACGGCGAGAATTGGAGAGAGACAGCCACATGGCCATGGCAACTCAAGGAGCTCCTGCCCTCGGACTGCCGGTCGTCGGCGTTAGAGGACGCCGTGTGTATCCTTCTTTGTTCGACTTGTCCTTGATGACCTCTCTCACACAGTCGCCTCTCCTCACCGTTCTCAGTATGAGTGGCCTCCTACGTTGCGTGCGACCACCGCGTTCATGAAGTCGTTATGCGCATCTGGGCGCCATGGCTTCCCCTCGTGCCACTGCTATTCTGTGGAGGGGGCCATGCTTATGCCGACATTGGACTTTTCGAACGTCTTCGACCGAAGCAGTGCTTGTGCCTCACAGAGGTAATCGTCGTCACCTATGTCGGCACACCAGAGTTCGTTGCCTCCTGCATCCAGTCTGGCTATTCCGGCACCATCACCATGCCGGGGAGACCAGGATATACCGATATACCGTATCAGCCGCCCGCAAGCGCACCGCCGCCAGTGCCAGCACCGTGGCCGGGACCGGGATCCGGGACGTACACTGGTTTATCTTTTGTAACGAGTACCCGCGGCCTTTCCCTCGACATTCACTCCTCGGTTACCACTGCTCTGGTTGCGAATCGCACGCTGTCCACCAATTTCTCCATCATCGAACCGACGCCAAGTCTGAGCAACAGACCCTGTGATGAGCCAGTACTCGTCTCAACGAGCGGTCATGACTCTGGCGACCCTGCTAGCTCGACGAACTGTCTTCCCTCCGACGCATGTACAGTCCACGAAAATGATACGACAGCGACACCACGCACAGGCTCAGCCAAGGTCTCGATCACTCGGACAATATTCACGACTTTGAGAACTGTCACCACATCCGTCGTCATAACGACAAACGGAGCCTACACGAGCGTAACGACCCTCACCACACTCGGAACCATCACCCCCATAGGGCCGAACATTCCGAACGTCTCGACGAGCTTTGGCAGTGCTAAAGGGTCAGTGGCAAGCAATGGCGTGGATAGCCTGGAGAGCGCGAATAATGGACCGGTCCTGACGATCTCGGAAACTGTCTCGTCGTTTGATGGGTCATCTATCACGACGACGAAACTTCTAACCAAGACCGCCGGCTCCTTGTCAGACAATCCTCAACCCACGGACCTTTCAGGATCACCAGGAGATATGTCAATAACTGTTGCAGCTACGACCACGTCAACTACGATGATTCCCGTGAGCGGTCTTCCAACACGGCCGTCAGAGCAGTCTTCCGTGTCATTCACTGCGAGTGTTTTCAAAACGACAGCAACCCCAGCGATCACGTCCACTAAAAGGCCGACAGCTTTGTCTGAAGGCTCGGGGGAGTCGATAGCCACGAGTCAATTGATTCAAGTGTCGGGTGTAACGACGGAACTCACCACTGTGGCCCTCGGGACTACAACCAGTGCCTTGACACGATCTATCTCGGGCTCAAACGTACAACCACCCAGTGCGTCCCTCGATCCAGCTTTACCAGCCTCGTCTCAGCGTGGCACGAGCAGCTTGAAGAGCACAATACCATCTTTTGGAGCAGCTCCTACAGTCACAAGTTCTCAGCAAAACTTGACACCAAGCGTCGCTAGCGGTGACGGCTCTCTCGAGATGTCCGCTTCTTCCACTGGAAGGACCCCGATGTTTGGATCGGCGACTCTTACGGATTCATCGAGCTTGGTGGGCCCGCCCACTACCCTCGAGGCATCGGCGTTGCCCGGATCCGCAATCTCTCTGCGTCTCTCTGAGTCAACAGAGGCATCAGGTGCATTGGGTTTACCGACCTCAAAATTGCCATTCCCTAGCAGCTCGCGTTCGTCGCCATGGACACTATCTCCAGAATCGTCAGGTATATCCTCAGCCATCTCTGGGGTTGAGTCCGCCATTGCGAGCCGCTCATCTTCAGACGATACCCACACCCCTGCAGTCACTACCGAAGTCATTGAGCCTTTGACATCAGATGCATCATCCAGCGGACAACATTCAACGAGGGTAGCTCCGGGCATTTCTTCGTCCAACTCATTGCTATTGCCATCAAGCATCACAAGCAAGTCTTCAGCTCTGTTGAGCCAGCCAACTTCCGTCCTCGAGGGTGTACCTTCAGGCAATGCTGCATCATCAAGAGACACCACATCTCTGGGTCTCGGGGTGGCATCGAGCAGCGCCGCAATCTCTGTTGGATCGACATCTTCGTCGATTAGCACTGCTTCCTCAAGTATCTTCATGTTTCCGAGCGAGTCTCTGAACCCTGCAAGCCAGCCCCCGATCCAGTCGAGCGACGTTGTCTCGACACAGCTGCCTATCTCTTTGAGCAACTCGATATCTTCACGCACGTCAAACTTATCCGGCGAGAACTCGGAATCAGCCCCAAGCTCCGTTTCCGACCAACGGCAGAGTAGTTCGTCAGAAGCGAGTATCTTAACCACCCATCGGGACATATCTAGCGATGCCAGGGATTCTTTTAGATCTTCGTCGGGTTTCTCGGGCCCTGCGACTAGCTCAGCCGTTGCCAACCCCTCCGTGCAGCCAGAAACAACCTCATTAACCTTTAGTCTCCGCAGTTCTACG